AGAGATAAGGATGGAAATATGTCAGACTCTTTACTATAGCAAGGAGTTCCCTTCGTGTTACACAGTAGTTCCTCTCTGGTTTACTCAGGACTCTTCTGAAGTAGGCCACCACATGTTCGTTTTCGCCCACTTACTGAGACAAAACTCCCCCAATTTCGACATTAATAGCATCACAATACAGTATGTACGACAGTGAAGGATTTGGAAGCTTTAAAAATAGAGCTGAGGCCAATTTTTCTTTCAATGTCTTGAAAGCATGTTGGCAAGAAACTGTCCAATCGAACTTTATATTTTGTAAAATATAACGGGCACTAATTGAAGTTTTCAGAACGCTGTTGTTTTATTTTATCAATGAAACTTAGTAGGCATAAAAGTTTCGAACTATTAATTATGACAATCGGTCCCGTTATTTGGTTCACAGAGCCCTTGTGGCAGCGAATGCTGCTGGCTGGTCGCTTTCCTGTGGTCATTAGTTATACAAATTAAGGACAGTTGTATCTTAACCCTAAATGTATCTGGCCTGACCTTTAGCCGAGATGATCATGAGGTACTTTCCAGGTTGAAAATTTTTTCCCTCCTAAGATAGCGGTAAGTTTACAGATTTATAACGCTAAAATCCGGGGTTCGATTTCCCGCGGTGGACATAACAGATAGCCCAGTGTGACTTTGTTCTGAAAACAAACAAAAAGAAAACGTTGGGAATTCCATTTCTTACTGCACCGTGTGACGTATTCGTATAGTGTGTTATACAGTTTTTGTTCTTTTCCCTGCCTCAAAATCTTAAAGTTGTTTTGTTTCTTTTGCTGACCTTTAGCATTAAGGTAACCCTGTCTTTTAATTGAGATTTTGTCTCGTGTTGGCTGTTTAGTTTTTGGCCCCTTTTTTGTAAATCTCGATGTATAGTTTTTCTAATGTAAGCTTTTTAATATAATTCATTTATTATTCATCGTAACCAGTAACACATATTCGTTAGATTCGAGCGCTTGTCAGACGATTGAAATGAGAATTGAACTGTATATTTTTGAATGAATTTCTGTCCACTGAAGTTTCATGAATCTGATTTTCAACAAGAGATCTGGGAAGCCAATGGAGTTTTTAAATTCTAGCTTGAAATGTATTGATTCATACCGTGAGAGAGGTTATAAAGTTCTGTATTTTAGCGCCACCTAAATGAAATTATGTTTACTTATGAAATATAATGTTATAAAATAAATAAATTAAAAGGTTAATTAACGTATACACTGACTTGTCAATTTATTAGGATCCCCCATTTAGAACTTGTATTCAGCGGTCAAAAATTAACAGATGCATGAGCTTCACTAGATGGAAAATAGTCCATTATCTTGAGACAGGTGTTGATTTGTTTGCTTGGAATTAAGCACAAAGCTACACAATCGACTATCTGTGCTCTGCTTACCACGGGTATCGAAACCCGGTTTCTAGCGTTGTAAGTCCGCAGACATACCGCTGTGCCACTGGGGGGCTGGAGTTGATTTAAAACTGTCAGAATGTGATGTCCCAGCTCATTCCAAAATTGATCAACTAAGATTGTACTGGAGCTGACTTAAGTTACTATCATACTCCTGGAAACAGTTGTAGATAATCTTGAAAGAGGTCATCAGTTTTGAAATTCGGCCTTAGCGGGTGATCTTGATCAGTAACAACGTTCACGCACACACTAATTGTTGTTTTATCTTTTTGTAGAGATCAAAGAAGCCCTCCCATGTTATACGAGAAGAATTGATTTTCTCTTACATCCATATGCACTGTTCGAACAATACAAGTAAGGTCAAATGTTTCGTGAGGTTTTCTTCGTATTTTTACCAAGTTCAGACAGTGGTGTAAAATCAGACCACACAAACCATTTCCAGTCATTAACTGTCAATAGAGTACTGTTTAAGTACCACTCGAAAATGCTGCCCTGTTTACAACTAAAAGTAGCAGTGTTCTCCTGATCACTTTTGATCAAATCAATCAATAGGGTCATAATCAAATAGCTTTTCAATTCATTGATTGTACAGGCAAAACTGACTGACAAGCTTTACAGTACATCCATATCAAAGATAACAATGTTAGAATTGAGGTTAGCAACAACTACCTTCAGTCTATAGGCAATGCTTCCTAGATAAATCTTTCCATTCAATTGCGTCTGGCATGACCTGATAGTTAGGACGCTCGACTCGCAGTATGAGGGTCGCGGGTTCGAATCCCTACCACACCAAACATGCTCGTCCTTTCAGCCGTGGGAGCGTTATAATGTGACGGTGAATCCCACTATTCGCTGTTAAAAAAAGTAGCCCAAGAGTTGGCGGTAGGTGGTGTTGACTAGCTGCCTTCCCTATAGTCTTTCACTGCTAAATTAGGGACGGCTAGCACAGAAAGTCCTCTTGGTTTTTCTAGGTATCTAAAAAATAGCTAGTTGTAGAGATACACCGACTTCCGGATTTACCCCTCTATCCACCAACCTCACAAACTGCATAAAATGAAAGAGAGAAGACGTTGTTACTCAAACCCACTACGTCCCACATTTTCACTACCTTTCACTGTCTACAGCAAATTGCAGGAAGAATGAGTGTAGAGAAGGTTTTTAAAACAGATCAATGTGAATATAATAATAAAGCTTATCTCCTGAAGTTGGCATTCCAATCATCATAATAATCTAAATAAAGGTCAGACAG